TCCCGGTTTTCCCAATGGAATTGAGTCATTCCTGGTTATCCCAAGGAAGGAATGGGATCATTCCCGGTTTTCCTTTGGGATCATTCCCGGTTATCCCAAGGAATTGAGTCATTCCCGGTTATCCCAAGGACTGGGATCATTCCCGGTTATCCCAAGGAAGGACTGGGATCATTCCCGGTTTTCCTTTGGGATCATTCCCGGTTATCCCAAGGACCATTCCCGCTTTTCCTTCCCCATTCCCGCCTATCCCAAGGACCATTCCCGGTTATCCCAAGGAAGAACTGGGATCGTTCCCGGTTTTCCCAAAGGAATGGGATCATTCCCAGTTATCCCAAGGAAGGAATGGGATCATTCCTGGTTTTCCTTTGGGATCATTCCCGGTTTTCCCAAGGGATCATTCCCGGTTATCCCGAGGACTGGGATCATTCCCGATTTTCCTTTGGGATCATTCCCGGTTATCCCAAGGACTGGGATCATTCCCGGTTATCCCAAGGATCATTCCCGCTTTTCCTTCCCCATTCCCGGTTATCCCGAGGACCATTCCCGCTTTTCCTTCCCCATTCCCGGTTATCCCGAGGACCGTTCCCGCTTTTCCTTCCCCATTCCCGGTTTTCCAAGGACCATTCCCGCTTTTCCTTCCCCATTCCCGGTTTTCCCGAGGCTTTTCCTGGCTCCCGCCGGTGGAATTGGATCCCGCGGCTCCGGTTCCAGGGGCTCCGTGGGTTTCCCTGGAAACCGTCACCGGATCCCGGCCGCGCCTCCGGAACCGCATCCGCATCCGGATCCGCTCTTCCAGGAGCAGCCGGAATGGGAATTCCCGGGATTTGGGGTTGATTTCCCAGGATTTGGGGTGGATTTCCCAGGATTTGGGGTGGATTTCCCGGGATTTGGGGTTGATTTCCTGGGATTTGGGATGGATTTCCCTGGATTTGGGGTTGATTTCCCAGGATTTCCCAGGATTTGGGGTTGATTTCCCTGGATTTGGGATTTATTTCCCTGGATTTGGGGTTGATTTCCCAGGATTTCCCAGGATTTGGGATTGTTTTCCCTGGATTTGTTGTTGATTTCCCGGGATTTGTTGTTGATTTCCCAGGATTTGGGGTTGATTTCCCAGGATTTCCCTGGATCTGGGATCTGGTTCCCATTCCTGACCCTTTTTCCCTGTCCCAATCCCATTTTCCCTGTCCCAATCCCATTTTTCCCTGTCCAAATCCCATTTTCCCTGTCCCAATCCCATTTTTCCTGTCCCAATCCCATTTTCCCTGTCCCAATCCCATTCCCAATCCCATTTTCCCCGTCCCGATCCCGTTCCCATCCCCCACTCCTCCCCTCCCCCATTCAGATTCCCAGGAAAAGCTGGAAAAACGGGAATTTCGGGAAATTCCGGAATTTCCGCTCCCGTTTTCCGGGCTCGGCTCCAAATTCCCGGACTTTGACCCCAAACAAGGCCCGGGGGCGGAGCCCGGGGCGGAATCCCGGGAAAGATTCCCAAAAAAATCCGGGAAAAATCGCCCCGGGATCGTTTGGGGTCATTAATTCGGGGTAATTAATGTGGGGTAATTAATTTCAGGTTATTAATTTCAGGTCATTAATTTCGGGTTATTAATTTGGGGTAATTAATTTCAGGTTATTAATTTCAGGTTATTAATTTGGGGTAATTAATTTGGGGTAATTAATTTCAGGTTATTAATTTCAGGTTATTAATTTGGGCTAATTAACTTGAGGTAATTAATTTGGGGTTATTAATTTGGGGTAATTAATTTCAGGTTATTTTCATAGGGATATTAATTTGGGCTAATTAATTTGAGGTAATTAATTTGGGGTAATTATTAATTTGGGGTAATTAATTTGGGCTAATTAATTTGGGGTAATTAATTTGGGGTAATTAATTTGGGGAAATTAATGTGGGGTAATTAATTTCAGGTTATTAATTTCAGGTTATTAATTTCGGGTTATTAATTTGGGGTAATTGATTTGGGGTAATTAATTTCAGGTTATTAATTTGGGGTAATTAATTTCAGGTTATTAATTTCAGGTTATTAATTTGGGCTAATTAATTTAGGGTAATTATTGATTTGGGGTAATTAATTTGGGGTAATTGATTTGGGGTAATTAATTTGGGGTAATTGATTTCAGGTTATTAATTGGGGTAATTATTAATTTGGGGTAATTAATTTAGGGTAATTATTAATTTGGGGTAATTAATTTAGGGTAATTATTGATTTGGGGTAATTAATTTGGGGTAATTGATTTGGGGTAATTAATTTGGGGTAATTAATTTCAGGTTATTTATTTCAGGTTATTAATTTGGGGTAATTAATTTGGGGTAATTTCAGGTTATTAATTTGGGATAATTAATTTGGGGTAATTAATTTCAGGTTATTAATTTCAGGTTATTAATTTGGGCTAATTAATTTGGGGTAATTAATTTCAGGTTATTAATTTCAGGTTATTAATTTGGGGTAATTAATTTAGGGTAATTATTAATTTGGGATTATTAATTTGGGGTAATTGATTTGGGGTAATTGATTTGGGTTAAAAAGCAGAAATTTGGGATAAAAAAGTGAATTTTTGGGAAAATGAAGCAGAATTTTGGGATAAAAAGGCAGAAACTTGGGATTAAAAAGTGGAATTTTGGGATAAAAAGTGGAATTTTGGGATAACAAAGCAGAAATTTGGGATAAAAGTGCAGAATTTTGGGATAAAAAGGCAGAAATTTGGGATAAAAAAGTGAATTTTTGGGAAAATGAAGAAGAAATTTGGGATAAAAAAGTGGAATTTTGGGATAAAAAGTGGAATTTTGGGATAACAAAGCAGAAATTTGGGATAAAAATGCAGAATTTTGGGAAAAAAATCTCCCCAGGCCCACCCTAAATATCGGGAAAATCCAAACCCAGCAATTCCAGGAATTCCTTGGAATAATTTCGGATTTTTTTGGGGAATTTTTCCCTTTTTTTCCTCCTCAATTTTCCCTTTCTCCATTCCCAAACACCCCAAAAATTCCCTTTTTTTTTTCCCTTTCGGAGAAAAAAACCCCAAAAAAACCCCGGGAAAATAAAAATAAAAAAAAATCCTGGAAAAACGATTCCAATTTTTATTTTTCTTTAATTTATTCCTCGTTTTTCCCATCGCTCCGGGAATTACAAAAAGATTTTTGTTTTTTTTCTGGGTCGGATCCACAAAAGCCTCTTTGTCCTTCCCCGTCCAAGCTGAAAATTCCCGAAATTCTCCTTTTTCCAGAGGGGCTGGAATTGTTTTTCCCGATTTTTCCCATTCCCACGGTGAGATTCCTGGGTTTTTTCCTGGAAAAATTCCCTTTTTTTCGCTTTTTTAGCCTTAAAATTCCAATTTTTTCCCCATTTTCCTCCTTTTTTTCCCATTTTCCTGCTTTTTCCTCCTTTTTTTCCCAATTTTCCTCCTTTTTTTTCCCATTTTCCTCCTTTTTTTCCCCATTTTTCTGCTTTTTTCCCCATTTTTTAACCCCTAAATCCCCTTTTCCCATTTTTTACCTCTGAAATTCCCATTTTCCTGTTTTTTTCCCCATTTTCCTCCTTTTTTTCCCCCATTTTTCTGCTTTTTTCCTGCTTTTTTCCCCCATTTTTTAACCCCTAAATTCCCTTTCCCATTTTTTCCACCCTGAAATTCCCATTTTCCTGCTTTTTCCCCATTTTCCCCCTTTTTTCCTGATTTTTTTCCCATTTTTCTCCTTTTTTCCCCATTTTTTAACCCCTAGATCCCCTTTTCCCATTTTTTACCTCTGAAATTCCCATTTTCCTGCTTTTTTCCCCATTTTTTCCCCATTTTTAACCCCTAAATTTCCTTTTCCCATTTTTCCACCCTGAAATTCCCATTTTCCTGCTTTTTTCCCCCATTTTCCTCCTTTTTTCCTGCTTTTTTTCCCCATTTTCCTGCTTTTTTCCTGCTTTTTTTCCCATTTTCCTCCTTTTTTCCCATTTTTTAACCCCTAAATTCCCTTTTCCCTGTTTTTCCCTTTGTGTTTTTCCAGGAAAATCCATTTTTCCCATTTTTTTTAGCTCTGAAATTCCCATTTTCCTGCTTTTTTTCCCCATTTTTCTGGTTTTTTCCCCATTTTTTAACCCCTAAATCCCCTTTTCCCATTTTTCAGCCCTGAAATTCCAATTTTCCTGCTTTTTTCCCAATTTTCCTGCTTTTTTTCCCCATTTTCCTCCCTTTTTCCCCATTTTCCTGCTTTTTTTCACATTTTTTAACCCCTAAATCCACTTTTCCCGGTTTTTTTAGCTCTGAAATTCCCATTTTCCTGCTTTTTTCCCCATTTTCCTCCTTTTTTCCTGATTTTTTTCCCATTTTTCTCCTTTTTTCCCCATTTTTTAACCCCTAGATCCCCTTTTCCCATTTTTTACCTCTGAAATTCCCATTTTCCTGCTTTTTTCCCCTTTTTTTCACATTTTTTAACCCCTAAATCCACTTTTCCCGGTTTTTTTAGCTCTGAAATTCCCATTTTCCTGCTTTTTTCCCCATTTTCCTCCTTTTTTCCTCCTATTTTTTCCGAATATTTTTCCTGGATTTATTTGGGGGAAAAATCCAAATATTTTTCCTGGATTTTTTTATTTTTTGGGAAAAATCCGAATATTTTTCCCAGATTTTTTTTGGAAAAATCCAAATATTTTTCCTGGGGTTTTTTTTTGGAAAAATCTGAATATTTTTCCTGGAATTTTTTATTTTTTGGGAAAAAAATCCAAATATTTTTCCTGGATTTATTTGGGGAAAAATCCAAATATTTTTCCTGTGTTTTTTTGGGAAAAATCCGAATATTTTTCCTGGAATTTTTTTGGGGAAAAATCCGAATATTTTTCCCGGAATTTTTCTTCTTGGGAAAACGGAATCTCCCGGGTTTTTTTTGGGAATTTGGGATCCTGTCCCGGGTTTCCAACCCCGCCCCCGTTCCCGGAACGTTCCGGAGCCGTCTGGGATCGATCCCAGCTCTTCCCATCCCCCTCCCCCCCCCGGGGATTCTCCACCTGCTCCGGGGTGGAGCCGGGGATTGCCGGGATCCCGGTGGATCCTGGGGTGGATCCGGGATCTGGATGGATCCTGGGGTGGATCCCGGATCCGGGATGGATCTGGGGTGGATCCGGGATCTGGGATGGATCCTGGGGTGGAGCCGGGATCCGGGTGGATCCTGGGGTGGATCCCGGATCTGGGATCCTGGGGTGGATCCTGGGGTGGATCCCGGATCTGGGGATGGATCCTGGGGTGGATCTGGGATCTGGGATGGATCCTGGGGTGGATCTGGGATCTGGGATGGATCTGGGATCTGGGATGGATCCTGGGATGGATCCGGGATCCGGGATGGATCCTGGGATGGATCCGGGATCTGGGATGGAGCCGGGATCTGGGATGGATCCCTGGATCTGGGATTGATCTGGGATTCATCCCTGGATCTGGGATGGAGCCGCGGTTTGCCGGGATCTGGGGTGGATCCTGGGGTGGATCTGGGATGGATCTGGGATCTGGCATGGATCCTGGGATCTGGGATGGAGCCGGGATCTGGGATGGAGCCGGGGATTGCCGGGATCCGGGTGGATCCTGGGGTGGATCCCTGGATCTGGGATGGATCTGGGATCTGGGATGGATCCTGGGGTGGATCCTGGGGTGGATCCGGGATCTGGGATGGATCCTGGGGTGGATCTGGGATCCGGGGTGGATCCTGGGGTGGATCCTGGGGTGGATCTGGGATCTGGGATGGAGCCGTGGTTTGCCGGGATCCGGGTGGATCCTGGGGTGGATCCGGGATCTGGGATGGATCTGGGATCTGGGATTGATCTGGGGTGGATCTGGGATCCGGGATGGATCCTGGGGTGGATCTGGGATCCGGGGTGGATCCTGGGGTGGATCCCGGATCTGGGATGGATCCCTGGATCTGGGACTGATCTGGGATGGATCCCTGGATCTGGGATGGAGCCGGGGTTTGCCGGGATCTGGGATGGATCCTGGGGTGGATCCTGGGGTGGATCTGGGATCTGGGATGGAGCCGGGATCCGGGATGGATCCTGGGGTGGATCCGGGATCTGGGATTGATCTGGGGTTTTCTGGGATCTGGGATGGATCCCTGGATCTGGGATGGAGCCGGGATTTGCTGGGATTGATCCCGGGATCTGGGATGGAGCTGGAATTTTCCAGGATCTGGGGTTTTCTGGGATCTGGGACAGATCCGGGCCCTTCCTGGTTTTCCTGGGATCTGGATTGGATCCCGGTTTTTCTGGGATCTGGGGTGGATCCCGGCCATTCCCGGTTTTCCTGGGGTGGATCCTGTTTTTCCTGGGGTGGATCCCAGTTTTCCTGGGGTGGATCCCGGTTTTCCTGGGACGGATCCCGGCCATTCCCGGTTTTCCTGGGGTGGATCCCAGTTTTCCTGGGATGAATCCCGGTTTTCCTGGGATCTGGATCCCGGCCATTCCCGGTTTTCCTGGGATGAATCCCGGTTTTCCTGGGGTGGATCCCGGTTTTCCTGGGGTGGATCCCGGTTTTCCTGGGATCTGGGGTGGATCCCGGCCATTCCCGGTGATCCCAACCCCTCCTCGCCCTTCCAAAGGTCCCGGAATTGCGGCCCCGCCCCCGCTGCCCTTTGGCCTCCTGGAGAAATTCCCGATTTTCCGCCGGCGCCGCTCCCTGCTCAGGTCAGCTCCCGCTCCTCCCGGAGACCCCCACCCCGGGATTGGGGAATTCGGGAATTCTTCGGGAATTCTTCAGGAATTCTTCGGGAATTATTGGGGAATTATTGGGGAATTCTTCGGGAATTATTGGGGAATTATTCGGGAATTATTGGGGAATTATTCGGGAATTCTTTGGGAATTCTTCGGGAATTATTGGGGAATTATTGGGGAATTATTGGGGAATTATTTGGGAATTATTGGGGAATTATTGGGGAATTATTGGGGAATTATTCGGGAATTCTTCGGGAATTCTTCGGGAATTATTGGGGAATTATTGGGGAATTATTGGGGAATTATTCGGGAATTATTGGGGAATTATTGGGGAATTATTGGGGAATTATTGGGGAATTCTTCGGGAATTCTTCGGGAATTATTGGGGAATTATTCGGGAATTATTCGGGAATTTTTCGGGAATTATTCGGGAATTCTGCTCCCGGGATCCCTCCCCGGAGATTCCAGGGAATTTGGGGTTCCCAGGATTTGGGGAGGATTCAGGAATTCTGGGATTCCCGGGATTTGGGATTTCTGGGCTTTGGGATTCCCGGGATTTGGGATTTCTGGGCTTTGGGATTCCTGGGATTTGGGATTCCTGGGATTTGGGATTTCTGGGATTTGGAAGAAAAACTGGGAGAAAACCCAGGAAAAACGGGAAAAATTGAGGGTAAAATATGGGAAAAAACCCACGTGGAGAATAAATGGGTGAAAACCAATAAAAAAACGCATCAAAAATCGTTAAAAATCACTAAAAAGCACCAAAAAATCGCTAAAAAAGCACCAAAAAAATCGCTAAAAAATGCCCAAAAAGTGAAAAAAAAAAGCTAAAAAATGCAAAAAAAAGCGCAAAAAAATCGCTAAAAAAGCGCAAAAAAAAGGAAAAAAAAAGCACCAAAAAATCACTAAAATATCACTAAAAAATACCAAAAAAGGCAAAAAAAAAGCGCAAAAAAAGCACAAAAAAACCACTAAAAAAAGCGCAAAAAAAGGCAAAAAAGCGCAAAAAAAGCGCAAAAAACCCGGTAAAAAAACTGCTAAAAAAAGCTCAAAAAAGCAAAAAAACCGCAAAAAAAGTGTAAAAAAAGCGCAAAAAAAGTGCAAAAAAAGGCAAAAAAAAGGCAAAATAAAGGCAAAAAAAGCACAAAAAAATCGCTAAAAAATCACTAAAAAACCGCAAAAAAAGCGCAAAAAAACCGGTAAAGAAGCGCAAAAAAACCACAAAAAAAACGCCAAAAAAATGCTAAAAAAGTGCAAAAAACCCCTAAAAAAAACGCTAAAAAAACCGCGAAAAAATCGCTAAAATATCGCAAAAAAAGCGCAAAAAAAGGCTAAAAAAGTGCAAAAAATACACAAAAAAAGCAAAAAAAAACCCGCTAAAAAAGCTCTAAAAAACACTAAAAAAACGCAAAGAAAGCACTAAAAAACGCAAAAAAGCGCAAAAAAAGGCAAAAAGAACGCAAAAAAAGTGTAAAAACGCAAAAAAGCACAAAAAAACGCAAAAAAAGCGCAAAAAAAAGGGCAAAAAACCCCCCAAAAAAGCGCAAAAAAAGCGCAAAAAAGCACAAAAAAAAGGCAAAAAAAGGGCAAAAAAAAGGCAAAAAAACCCCCCAAAAAAGCGCAAAAAAGCGCAAAAAAGCGCTAAAAAGCGCTAAAAAAATGCAAAAAAAGCGCAAAAAAATGCAAAAAACCCCCCAAAAAAGCGCAATAAAGTGCAAAAAAAAGCTAAAAAAGGGCAAAAAAAAGGCAAAAAACCCCCCAAAAAAGCACAAAAAAACCGCAAAAAAAGCGCAAAAAAAAGGCAAAAAACCCCCCAAAAAAGCGCAAAAAAAGCGCAAAAAACCCACTAAAAAACTCGCTAAAAAACCCCCAAAAAAACCGCAAAAAAAGGCAAAAATAGCGCAAAAAAACCGCTAAAAAACGCTAAAAAAGCACAAAAAGAACTCAAAAAAAAGCACTAAAAAAACGCTAAAAAAGCGCTAAAAAACCGCAAAAAAATCGCTAAAAAAACGCAAAAAAAGCGCAAAAAAGAGTGCAAAAAAAGGCTAAAAAAGTCCAAAAAAAGCGCAAAAGAGCACAAAAAAAAGGCAAAAAAAGGGCAAAAAAAAGCGCGAAAAAACCGCAAAAAAAGCGCAAAAAAAAGGCAAAAAAAGCGCAAAAAAAGGCAAAAAACCCCCAAAAAAAGCGCAAAAAAAGCGCAAAGAACCCGCTAAAAAAACTGCTAAAAAAAGCTCAAAAAAAGCAAAAAAACCACAAAAAAAGCGCAAAAAAAGTGTAAAAAAAGCGCAAAAAAAAGGCAAAAAAACAGCAAAAAAAGCGCAAAAAAAGCTCAAAAAAGCGCTAAAAAAACGCAAAAAAAGCGCAGAAAAAAGGCAAAAAACCCCCCAAAAAAGCGCAAAAAAAGCGCAAAAAAACCACTAAAAAAAGCGCAAAAAAAGGCAAAAAAGCACAAAAAAAAGGCAAAAAAAGGGCAAAAAAAAGTGCGAAAAAACCGCCAAAAAAGCGCTAAAAAAACACCAAAAAAGCACAAAAAAAAGGCAAAAAAAGGGCAAAAAAAGCGCGAAAAAACCACAAAAAAGCACAAAAAAAAGGCAAAAAAAGGGCAAAAAAAAGCGCGAAAAAACCGCAAAAAAAGTGCAAAAAAAAGGCAAAAAAAGCACAAAAAAAGGGCTGAAAAATCACAAAAAAAGCCAAAAAAAGCGCAAAAAAACCCGGGAAAAAATCCCAAATCCCGATTTTTCCCCGTGATCATCCCGGATTTTTTCCCCCTCAGCCCATGGCGGAGAAGCGGATGGATCACGGCGTCCAGATCCGATTTATCGACGAGCTGGGGGAGCCGCCGCGGCCGCCGCGGGCCAGGACGGGCTCGTACGGGGTGGCCGTGCGCGTGCAGGGCATCGGGGGCCAGCCCTTCGTCCTCCTCCGCAGCGGCCGCCGCGACAGCTTCGGGGTGCAGATCCCGACGGGAATACCCCAAAATCCCGGATGGAGAGAGGCGGGGGAGAGCGGGAACGAGGGGGTGGAGAGGGAGAGGAAAATCCCCGAGTTTTTGGATGAGGAGAATTGGGATGGGACGAGGAAAATCCTGAAGTTTTCGGATGGTGAAAATCAGCCGGGATCGCGGAAAATCTCGGAATTTTTGGGTCGTGAAAATCCGCCGGAATCACGGAAAATCCCGGAATTTTTGGATCGTGAAAATCCGCCTGGATCCCGAAAAATCCACGAGGTTTTGGATCGTGAAAATCCGCCAGAATCGCGGAAAATCCCGGAATTTTTGGATGAGGAAAATTCGGATGGGACGAGGAAAATCCTGAAGTTTTCGGATCGTGAAAATCCGCCGGGATCCCGGAAAATCCCGGAATTTTTGGATCAGGAAATTCCAGATGGGACGAGGAAAATCCCAAGATTTTCGGGTCAAGAAAGTCCGGATGGGACGAGGAAAATCCCGAAATTTTCGGATCAGGAAATTCCCGAGGGGACGAGAAAAATCCCGAAATTTTCAGATCAGGAAATTCCCGAGGGGTTCCGGAGCATCCCCAAACCCAGGGCCGAGGAAATTTCCGGGGGATCTCGGGGGGTCCCCAAACCCTGGGATGAGGAAATTCCTGGGGGATCCCGCGGGGTCCCCAAACCCTGGGATGAGGAAATTCCTGGGGGATCTCGGGGGATCCCCGAATTCCCGGAAAAACCCCGGGATACCCCAAAATCCTGGGATCGACGCCTGGAAATCCCTGAATCCTCGGAGGAGCTTCGGCGATCGCGATCCCACGGTGACCTCAGCGCGCCTTGCCCGAAAAACGGGAAAAAGCCGGGAAAAGAGGAGGGGGAGCTGATTCCCGGGATTCCCGGAATTCCTGGAATTCCTGGAGACGTGGACACGGAGCCGCTGGGATCCGTGGATTCCCTGATCACCAAATTTGACGGGAATTTTTCCCGCGGGAGAACGGCCCGGAGGCTCCGCGGGGCTCCCGGGAAGCGATCGCGGAGTTTGGACGCGCGGAATTCCCGGGAATCCGGAGGGATCCGGCCCCAGATCCCCCAAATTCCCCAAATTCCCGGAGGGTTTGGGGAGGCTGAGGAGGAGAGAGTGGGAATGGAGGTAAGGAGGGGGGAAAAGTGGGGTTTATCCTGAAAAATTGGGAGTTTTTCCATGAAATTGGGATTTTTCCTAAAAAATTGGGGTTTTTTCCCATTGAATTGGGGTTTTTTTCCATTAAATTGGGATTTATCCTGAAAAAATGGGATTTTTTTCCATTAAATTGGGGTTTATCCTGAAAAATTGGGGTTTTTTCCATGAAATTGGGATTTATCCTGAAAAATTGGGGGTTTTTTCCATGAAATTTGGGATTTTTCCTAAAAAAATTGGGGTTTTTTTCCATTAAATTGGGGTTTATCCTGTAAAATTTGGATTTTTTCCCATTAAATTGGGATTTTTCCTAAAAAAATTGGGGTTTTTTCCATTAAATTGGAATTTATCCTGAAAAATTGGGATTTTTTCCCATTAAATTGGGGTTTTTCGTAAAAAAATTGGGGTTTATCCTGAAAAATTGGGATTTTTTCCCATTAAATTGGGGTTTTTCGTAAAAAAATTGGGGTTTTTCCATGAAAACGGGATTTTTTTTTCCATTAAATTGGGTTTTTTCCTAAAAAATTGGGGTTTTTTCCATTAAATTGGGTTTTTTCCTAAAAAATTGGGGTTTTTTCCATTAAATTGGGGTTTTTTCCATTAAATTGGGATTTTTCCTATAAAAATGTGGATTTTTTCCATTAAATTGGGATTTTTTCCTATAAAATTGGGGTTTTCCCCTATAAAATTGGGGGTTTTTCCTATAAATTTGTGGTTTTTTCCTATAAATTTGTGGGATTTGGGTTTTTTATTGGGATTGAGGGTTTTTATTCCCTCCCTGAAGCTGAAATCCACCCCGGATCTGCTGCGGGACCAGCGGGAATTGGGGGGCGGTGAAAACCCCAGCGAGTTCATCTTGAGCATCCTAAAGGAGGGGTGAGCCTGGAAACGCCCAAAATCCCCCAAATCCACCCCAAAATCTGCCCAAAATCCACCAAATCCACCAAAAATCCCCAAAATCCCCCAAATCAACCCCAAAATCCCCCAAATCCACCAAAAATCTGCCCAAAATCCACCAAATCCACCAAAAATCCCACAAATCCACCCCAAAATCCCCCAAATCCCCCCAAATCCACCAAAATTTCCCCAAATCCACCCCAAAATCCGCCCAAAATCCCCCCAAATCCACCAAAAATCCCCAAAATCCCCCAAATCCACCCCAAAATCTGCCCAAATCCCCCAAAATCCACCAAAAATCACCCAAAATCCCCCAAATCCACCCCAAAATCTGCCCAAAATCCATGAAATCCACCAAAAATCACCCAAATCCACCCCAAAATCTGCCCAAAATCCTCCCAAATCCACCAAAAATCACCCAAAATCCCCCAAATCCACCCCAAAATCT